CCAGCTTCATTTTAGGCAGGACTTGTTCATTCATTAAAAAAAAAAAATTTTAAGTATAGTCGATGTATAATGGTATATTAGTTTCAGGTGTAAAATATGATTCGACATTTATCTACTTTATGATGGGATCACCATGATTACTCTAATTCATTTACTTCTTTGCTTTTATTTTAACATAACTTTAGAATAGGTGTATATTTAAATGGTTTCCAACTTAAACAGCATGAAAAGGTAGACAGTAAAATGTCTGGCTATCTGTCCCTCATTCATTCCATTTCCCACCTCCACCACCCCATTCCAAGTAAATTCTTGTATTATTTTCTTATGTATGCTTCTAGGGTTTCTTCAGGCAGATATAAAAATCCAAATATTGATGTTTATTTATTGCTCTTTTTTACACTAAAGGTCAAAGATCACACACACCATACATATCTTTTGCTTAACAATTTATCTTGGACATTTGTGCCTAACTGTACTTAGGGAAAAGGCCCCAGTTTCTACCTGAGGCCTGTCAATCAGTTTCAGAGAGATCATGAATTTCCTAAAGCTAGAGGCAAAGTTATGTGCATGTGTCAATTTTCTCTTATTTTTTTAACGTAATATAATTTTAATTGTTTATTTTAAATTATGTAATTTTTTTCAGGCAGAGGAATAATATAGGAAAATAATATAACAGATATTCATGTACCCAAATTTGACTATAAAATTTCTCTTCCTTTTTTTTTAAAGTAAAATTTTGCAGATATAAGTAAAGTCATCTCATTTCATCTCATTTTCCTCTCTCATCTTCTGTAGTACTCACTGTTTCGAAGTTAGTTCTTCTGGTCCCTGTTTTTATGCTTTTATTATATGTATGTGTGCTCTTAAAATTAACATAAAAATGATACCTTACCCCATGTGTGGGATTTTCTGTAGAGCATACCCACAAACATGGAATGCTGGGTTATAGTATCTAAGTTAGGCTGTAAATAACAATAACCCCTCAAATAACAATGACTTAAATAAATAGAAGTTCATTTCTCCTTCACATAAAAAAAATCAGTCCCAAGGTAAGCAGACCAGGCTTAGAACACAGGCCTGGATCCAAAGACTGGTGTGGCCACAGCCAGGATGGCCGGCAGTGCTTTTAACCATTACTTTTTAGGCCGTGGGGCTCCATGAAGATTCCGATCTTATTGACTATATTTTTAAGTTCTACATGTTTGTTTGTTTTCAATTCTGTTTTGTCCTTTTACATACTGCTTTCGTTTTGGTTACTAACATTTTATTTGTTTGGTGATTTTTTCAAGATCCTTGTATTATGGATTTTTCTGTTTCCACTTCACAGCCTCCTGTTCGTTATCTTGCCAACTAATCCTTATAGTGGAATATTTCTTCATGTTTACAGCAAATCCTCCTCTGTTGTAATTGTTTTTCTTTGGGATTCTACACTTATCACCTGGTTTGTGGAAGTTTTACTACAGAACAGTTTTTTAAATGCTTTTGTCAGTCATCACAGACACTTCACCAGTCCAGGCCAAATTTTACATCAGTTTTTCAGCTTCCATATCCCCACACCAGGTGGGAGGTATAAGTTCACACTTCAGCCATGGCAGGGCCAGACTTGGGGCTTTCATGGTTTACAGAGCTTTTCTCTCCTGGGGCCTCAGGCAGAGAGCTTCCTTACTGCTTCCCTGGGCCTCAGCGCAAAGTTCTACTCGTCATTTCACTGTGGGGATATCTTTGCCAGGGTCCTGAACAGAGTTTTAATTCAACCCTGTCTCCTCTCTTGGTCCCAAGGTCATGCTTCTCTTTGTACAAGGAAAGGGGTTGACATTTGTTGCCAATTGTGCTATTTTTTTTTCTTTTAATGGCAAGAATCTTTGTCTTTCATCAGATTCTTAAAATGACTTAACAATCATTGCTTAAGTACAATGTGCGACTATTTCAATATTTAAAAGAGGTTTTGAAGGCAGTTGTTCATGTTATGATAGAAGACTGCCTCAAAAATTTTGGCAGATATTTTCTTCTGCAATGTAAGTTTCTTTAATGCTTTTAAAACACAGTTTGATTTATAAATTTGTATTTATTTAGCAAATCTTCAGGAATTCATTGGAGAAATCGAGATTCACCAATGCAAATAAACAGATGAACCCCGGTAACAAAAGGGACTTCATTTCCTCACTGTTTTGCCTTTAGGGGGAATTGGCAAATAGGTGCCTTTTGCTCCAGCAGAGGGCAGATGAACAAATAACTTGTTTGAGGATCTCAGCAAGGGATTTGGGCTGTGGAAAGTGTATCAGCAGGATCTGAAAAGATGTAAAGATTCTGCTAAGAGAATTGAAAAGATGAGTTGCTCAGCAGTATGTAAACGGTGTGGTTTCTCTTCTACAGATGAAAATGAATGTGAGCAAAACAATGGTGGCTGCAGTGAAATCTGTGTAAACCTCAAAAATTCATATCGCTGTGCATGTGGGGTTGGCCGTGTGTTAAGAAGTGATGGCAAGACTTGTGAAGGTGAGACTGGGTAAAAAAGGATTCGAATCAAGAGCCCATTCTAAGCCATTGGCTTATTCTTTGATGTTCATAAAACTGCGCAACAGTAGAAGAGAGTAACAGTTTGGCTGCGTCAAGAAATGACAGAAGGGGTTCATGATCATTGAGGATGCTTGCAACAGAATTTAGTGTTGAATTAGTCTCTAAGATTTCACAGGAGGGAGATGTTGCATTTCACAAGAGGTAGAGAGCTACATTTTAATTTGGAAAATAAAAATAGATATTCTGTGTTTCTCAAATTTTAATGTGCCTGTGAATCACCAGGGATCTTGTTAGAATGCAGATTCTGATTCACTAGGTTTCAGATCAGGCCGAGATACTGCCTTTCTAGATAACTTCTAGGTGACACCTGCGCTGAGATCAAAGGAGCACAACCAGAGTAGCAAGGCATGCATATCAAATGGTTTACAACAGTGTCGCTCAAACTTTCCAGCTAAGGAGAGTCACCTGGGTGCTTTTAAAACTGGCCCATCTCAAGCCTCTCTCCAGGAGAGACTCTTGTTCAGTGGGGCAAGATGGGCCTTAGAGTTTGTGTTTTTACCAAGTTTTGTAGATGAGTCTTACCTTCTTAAGAGTTTGAGAAACTGGTTTACATGAAGCCATTTTTGCCCCCTGTATACTTTGCTTTTCTTGGAGATTAATACTTTGTTTGGAAATGAATAAAAGTATCTATTTTTAATAGTAGAACTACTCTATATGTTTTACATGATTAAGTAATAAAAACGAATTTGTAATGTATGTCAAATAATTGAAATGGAAACGGTTTACTATTATTATATGAAACTTAGATAAAGTCCCTTCTCTAAGGCCCTTGCAAATTATCACAACTAAAATTTCATCATTTCTACCTTAGTAAGTCTGAATCTCATAACATTGGGAATTAAGGGGGAAAAAAACCCAACTTTTTGCAAATTATATAAAGAGATAAATGCCATAATTATTATTTATAGAGAATGCGATTTGTCCCACAGGATAATTAAATATGTAACTTAATAAAGTTATTATACTGTTTATAAGAATTCATTTTATTCTAGTTGTATTCAAAATAATAAGATGATTTTTCCAAAAGGAAAAATTATGGCTAGTGCCTACAATTTATTTTATGCAACAATGTTTGCAGTATTAACTGAGGAACCAGTAACCATAATATTAAACTATTCTTCATTATCGCAGGACAAAATGTACTTTAAATTTTATTGAATAAGAGTAATGTCCTGAATCCTTCTTAAATCTTAATTATTTTATGTAATAATCTCTGCATATTTGAATGTTAATGAAATGTTCCATGAGGAACATTTGTAATTATTCATGAACCGTTTATTGGAAATATTACAGTTAATCCTCATATAATTTTAAAACATAATAATCATGACTGAAAAATATTATAGCAGAAGATAAAATTTGTGAGTTACGCTTTATGATTGAGTCGTATTTGTAATCCTTAAGTCTTATTGATAGTCTAAACACATTTGTTTCTTTAGCTAGTCTGTTAGATAATTGTATCTTCTTTTTCAAAATAAAAAGTTCTTTTTAATTTTTAAGTAATATTTGTTTTTTTGTTTTGAAAATGTTATGTTCATAGAAGAAAATACAGAGGAATAAAAGAAAGATAACTAAAATGATCCTCAGTGACACTTGCCAGATATATTGATTCTAAACATTTTGGTATATCTTTGTAAGAGACTTAAATCCATCAAGCTAACTTGGAATTCCAATTTAATTTATGCTTTGGAGCTTTAGACCTGGCCCTGAAAGAACATATAGTCTATCCCTTTATATTACATATTGAAATTAAGACCCAAAGAAATTAAGTGATTTAAGGAAGATAATTTTTAAGAAAAAAATTTTCTATTGTTGATTTTAACATCTTAGAGCATACCTTTATGCTTTCTTTTACACTGTTATATATCACTTTCAGCTATTTCAAAACTCATAGGAGTACTTTTATCCTTTTTAATTTTTTTTTTTTACTATTATTGAACTAAGAGTTACAGCTATAACTGGAAATCAGCATCTCATGATTTGAAAGCATTCCCTTTTGTTGTCTTACCCCTAGAACAGAAGTCGGCAAACTTTTTCTGTTCATAGTAAATATTTTAGGCTTTGTGGACTATACAGAATCTGTTTAAGCTACTTGACTCTGACCTTGCAATGAGAAAGCATCCATAAACAATAGGTAAATAGATGGGTGTGGCTATCTGCCAATAAAACATTATTTACAACAACATGTAGCAGGCCATAATTTGATGATCCCCGACCGAGAAGGTAATATCCAGAGCCCTCAACCTTTTTGTGCTCCTATGAGAGTCTAATGCCTGATGATCTGAGGTGGAGCTGAGGCGGTGATGCTAGCGCTGGGGAGTGGCTGCAAATACAGATGAAATTTGGCTCGCTTGCCCACTGCTCACTTCCTGCTGTGCGGCATGGTTCCTACCAGGCCACGGACTGCTACTGGTCCACAGCCTCAAAACATAGTCCAACTATGAGAAAAACAGACAAATCCAGATTGAAGGGCATTTTAGAAAATGACTAGCTTAAGTGGGTAGAGCTGTAGATGTTGTAAGATTGCTCTTTGTAGCTATAACATTTAATAAATATTTTTTGTGGGCTTCCCTACATGTCTTAAAGAGTGGGTTAGGCCCCAGTGATACTGTGATGAGTTAAGTATAATCCCTAATGCAAAGTGCCATCCCAAGAACCAGAATTTTGGGGGAAGAAGGCTTTAAGATTATTTCCTTTTCTTTTGGTTTTTATTGCAGACATCGAAGGATGCCACAATAACAATGGAGGCTGCAGCCATTCTTGCCTTATGTCTGAGAAGGGCTATCAATGTGAATGTCCCCGGGGCTTGGTGCTGTCTGAGGATAACCACACTTGCCAAGGTAGTACATGTATGGGCTTGACCTCTGCTCTGATTTGTACTTCCTCCCCGCTCCCCAGTCTCTCTGCCTTCCTTACCCATATGTGTCAGGATTCTCATCTTTTAGAACACAACCTCTTCCAGCAGTGTATATCCCTACGTCTTCACTGTGGTGTTATTAAAAAGAGATCTCTAAGAAAAGACTATAAAAAAGCTAATTTTCCTTTGCTTTTAAAAAAATTGTGGTTAAAATATACATATATACCATAAAATATACCATCTAAACCACTTCTAAATGTGTAGTTCAGTAGTGTTAAGTATATTCACCAGATCTCCAGAACTTTTTTATCTTGCAAAACTGAAACTCTATACCCATTAAACGATAACTTCTCATTTCCCCCTCCCCCAGGCACTAGCAACCACCATTCTATTTCTGTAAATTTGACTAATTTAGATACCTCATGTAAGTGGAATCCTACAGTATTTGTCTTTTTTTTTTGCAATTGACTTATTTCTCTTAGCATAATGTCCACAGGTTCATCCATGTTGTAGCATGTGACAGAATTTCCTTTCTTTATAAGGCTGAATAATATTCCAATGCCTATATATACCACATTTTGTTTATTCAGTCATCTGTTGATGGACATTTGGGCTGCTTCTACCTGTTGACTTTTGTGAACAGTGCTGCTATGAACATGGGTATGCAAATATTTCTGCTTTTAATTCTTTAGGATTGCTGGATCGTAAGGTTTCCTTTGCTTTTTACCTTTGATTTTTTCCCCCCTCACATTTCTATTATTATTTGTATAACTAATACTGAATTTAGGAGTCTAAGACATTGATGCAGTTCTCTTTTCTAACAGATAATTGGGTTGTGAAACTAAGTTGAAAGCCATAGAAAACTGATTCTTCTCCCTACACTTACAATAGGAACATCAACAATCCACTGAGAACTGTTTTCTGGAAATTGAGTTATTTATGTCCAGAATATTAATTCATTCATCCACCAAATATTTAATAAGCAACTATCCCTGATTTTTTTTTACTGTACCATTTGTTATGATATGTCCCCTAATATTGATATTGTCCTCACATATTTTCTGACAGTACCCATAAGTGTTCCTTTTTGGGTTTTTACGGAGTCTAAAGAAGTGAGCATTGGTAACACTAAGGAAAAGCAGTCTTTTTTATTTTAAGTGGAAGTGGAATTTATAGTTAGGGTTTATGGTTTACTGAACAATGCAAGGACAATTTGGAAATTTTCCCCAAGTGTACTAACACTGTTTTTATTACCTCTGTTTTATGGGGGCAATTATTAACCATAAAATCAAAGTAGTATCATTTAAGCCTACATCAAAGCAGTACTTTTTCTGTATTCCCAATAAATTGTGTTTGTGCTAAAAGTTAATCTTTTAAGTGTTTCAGTTCATGCAGTTAAACCAGCCACACTTTGCAATAAATATCTGTTGAACTGAAACTTGAACACAACATTTCCTCATTTGGGGAATAATAGGAGCATTATTTGACCAACTTGTTTTGAGCCTCAAGGATTTCTTTGAGGATAGAACAGAAAGCTCAAGTTCTGTGAGGGTGAAATTATTTCTCCTAGGAGACTTCTCTTACCCTTTTCCCCATTTAGGATTCCCAGCTCTAACATTAGCCCCTTTCTGCCGCAGTTCCTGTGTTGTGCAAGTCCAACACTATTGAAGTAAGCATCCCCAGGGACCTGGTCGGCGGTTTGGAGCTCTTCCTGACCAACACCTCCTGCCGAGGAGTATCCAATGGCACCCACATCAACATTCTCTTCTCCCTCAAGACATGTGGCACAGTGGTCGATGTAGGTTCCTCCTGAAGGACACTTGGGGAATGACCAAAAGCCAGTTATTTGGGAGGTAGTCGACAGAGGTATGCGGTATGGCTTGTGTCCTAGATGGAATATTTCCACATGAAAGAATGGAATTCAAAATATTATATGCCATTCATTTAAAAAATGTACTATTGAGCATCTGCCATGATCCTGGCACGGTGAGGATAGGAAGTTAAGGAGAATTCTGCTATTTCTGTTCTCAAACAGACCCATCTCTCCAATACAGGTAGACATTTTCCTGAGTGCATCAGCACCAGTACCATTTATTTCACTTGAAGAAAGTGACTGATATAGATGGTGGTCCGTTTATGAGGCAGCAAATGAGTTCAAGTATTGAACCAGGTGGAGGTAGAAGTTTTATACTTTCATCGAAGAATCTGTGCACAGCCCTGTGCTGGGGAGTCTAAGGGATATATGAAATAAGTTTCCTGATTTTTAGGGGCATACACAGTAGTATTGAGCTGACAATACACACAAACTATAAATTAGAGACAGCGATCCAGATGACAAGTGCTATATGAGGCCAGAAAGGAACAATGGAGCAGTCAAGACAAATAGAACTTGAATCGAGATAGAAATGTGTGTGTGGTTTATACAGGTAGAGAGGAAAAGAAAGGGCATTTCAGATAGGAAACAAGTGTGCAAGTCCCAGAGATGGGAGTAGGTAAGGCCTATGCTGCAGTGAATGGGCAATGCAGCCTAACTGGCAAGGAGTTCATATCGGAAAAGGAAGCTGGAAAAGTAGATGGCAGGCCACTCTGCTTCCAAAGATTTGCCTAGTATGCTAGGTGAGGCATTCAGGCTTTATCTTGTAAACGTAGCGTTAAGCTGGCACTGTCCTGATGAAATCAGAAGTGTGCAAAATGGGTAGACAGAAAGACGACCTGGATCTCAGAGATCAGTGCAGAGGCCCTTGTGATCATTTGATTAAACAAATATTTGTTTATTGACTATGACTAAGAGCAAATCAGAGAGCTAATTAGACTTGAGGTGAAACATGGGGTCGGGGGCGGATAGTCAAAGAGAAGATGGTCCCACTTTAGGCAGGTTTTATTTACTATATCTGTGGATAATCAAATGGAAATACCCCACGATGAGTCAGAGTTTCTGGTACACAAGAGAGCTGACGAGGCTGGAGATAAAAAATGGAAAACTATGGACATAAATGTGACAGCTGAAGTTCTGTGTGTGGATGAGTTCAGTGCAAGGTCATGCTGCAGCATGATCACCAGGTCTAGGATTACAGAAAAAAAAATATATATAAGCTGTTTGTTTCTAAAATATCAGAGCTTTGAATTTGCTGACTCTGCATAGCTCAGGTTTTTATGAGTAATATTCCAAAAGAATGTGCGGGTTGACCATGAAGTAAGATGTAAAGTAAAAATGTTTCAGGCTTCAGCAATCAAATCCCTAATGTGTTTTGAGGTTTGGAGATTGTTGTGATTAAGAGGGAAAATAACTTTGTAGAAATAAATGTAAAATCTCTTTCTTTATCCTGGCCTGGCTCAGGTGGTAAATGACAAGATTGTGGCTAGCAACCTTGTGACAGGTCTACCCAAGCAGACCCCGGGGAGCAGTGGGGACATCATCATCCGAACCAGCAAGCTGCTGATCCCTGTGACCTGCGAATTTCCACGCCTGTACACCATTTCCGAAGGATACGTCCCCAACCTTCGAAACACCCCACTGGAAATCATGAGCCGTAGTCATGGAATCTTCCCATTCACCCTGGAGATCTTCAAGGACAACGAGTTCGAAGAGCCTTACCGGGAAGCGTTGCCCACCCTTAAGCTCCGTGACTCCCTCTACTTTGGCATCGAGCCCTTGGTGCACGTGAATGGCTTAGAAAGCCTGGTGGAGAGCTGTTTTGCCACCCCCACTTCCAAGATCGATGAGATCCTGAAGTACTACCTTATCCGGGATGGGTAATTATGCTGCTTAAACTGTTTATTATTCCCAATTCACATCCAGCCTCTAAGTGTGCAAGCATAATCAGTCACCTCCTAAAACAACAGGGCACTCTTGTGAACTCTTAATTAGTTCAGAAATGATTTACTGACATTTTGGAGGTAAAAACCGAAGAGGGAAAGGGGAGTCAAAAACGACTCCAAGAGGTCTAGCTTGGATAACCGACTAGGTGACATTAACCAAGATGAAAGTACATAGGTAGAAAGGAAGATCTGAGGTAAAAATACTAAATATAATTCCAAATAATAATATCATTGTAAGTG